GGGTGGGAGGAGAATGGGAAGGGATGGGAAGGGTAAACAAAGGAGGAGGCTACAATGCTTGATAAGAAATGCACTCATTATCTTGCCCATGTAATTGTAACCCCTCTGTACAGTATTTTCACAATAAAAAATAAATAAAAATTAAAAAAAATTCATTTATCTCTCCCTTGCCTAGCCACTCATATAAACACAGAACTTCAAAGAAACAGATGAAATGATAGCAAAGTTCTGGCAAAACTATGAATTTGTGTTGTATTTTTTCCTCTCAGAAAATACTAGATAAGTACAATCTAATTTCATGTTTTTGAAGATTGACAGAAGGTTTTCTGACATAATCACTGTTTTAGTCACATAATTACTGAGAAATCAGGGATAAAATGACATATCTTGATTGTGCCAAGCCAATTCATACCAAAGCCACAGCTTTACATAGTGTGTGGGTGTTGTTGTTGTTTTTTTATCAGTACCTAGGCTTAAACTCAGAGTTTCAGTCAGTTTGCTTGTTTGCTCTTGGCTGGTGCTCTACCACTTGAGCCACAACTCCAACTGAGCTTTTTGCTGGTTATTTGGAGATGGAGTCTTGAGAAATTTTCTGCCTATGCTGGTTTTTAACTATGATCCTCTTTTGGTGTCAGCCTTTTGAATAGCAAGGATCACAGAAATGAGCCACCAGTGCCTGGCCTTGTACATGTTTTGTTCAAGAATTTAGTCTTTCATTCTCCCATAGCTTAGGGCAATCAGTCTTACAATACTGAACAGAAAATATAATGTAACTAGAATATTGTTTGAGGTTTCTGAAAAACATAGGCTACCTTAAATTTCTTTACAAATTAAGTTTTCCTATGTAAGGTATACTCACCAACTGAAAGAAGTTGAATAAATATTACTGTCATTAATATAGTACTCTTTAATCCTTAGTTTACTTTTTTCCTTGGTTTTAGATGCCTGTTGCCTCTATTATCAGTGGTAAATTAAAACCTGGATATATTGAACAATACTGCATATAATATTAGTGAATGCATTGGCATGTTTTGGATATAGTGAAAGTTCCAGAAATAATTCATAACCATTTTTTTTTACTATGCCAGTGCTGAGGCTTGAACTCAGAATCTAGGTGTTGTCCCTTAGCTTTTTTCCCTCAAGGCTGAAGCTCTATCACTTTGAGTCACAAATCCGCTGCTAGGTTTTACTAGCAAATTGGAGATAAGACTCACATGAAATTTTCTATCCAGACTGGCTTTGAAGCACAATCCTTCTGTCTCAGCCTCCTGAGTGGCTAGGATGACAGGTGTGAGCCACCAGTGTCTAGATGAGTTTGTAAGTTTTAATTTGGTTATTTTCCTGTCTCGTGTAAGGAATTCTCAGTCTATTCTGCTTGTCTGCAGTCAGGGTATGGTTCGCTCTTCCTTCTGTCCCGTATTTCCACCCTGTATTTGCTACCTGCCTTGCAGTCACTTACTGCATATCTGGTTATCAAACATACTGCTATAACACAGCGATGTTTGTGTTCCAGTAACCTTACATGGTAGCCATGCACTACCTCACAGTACATAGCATGATATAAGCATTGCATCTTCTGACATCATCACAGGAAGAAAGGTGAACACAGTACATGGTATGAGAGACCAAAGGCACACAACTGTCATTACAATATATTGTTCTCATTCATTATTGGTCATTTCTATTCATCTCTTAACTATTTCTAAGTTACCAATTCAATGTTATCACAGTTATGAATGCAAGGGGAAAAATGCATCCATTTTCCTTATCTATTAGCTTGGTGCTTACAGGCATCTGGAAAAAATTTCTGGACATCTCTGCAGATAAAGGGTAGCACTGGCATTATTTATTTATTTATTGGGTCCAGTTGTGGGGCCTAAACTCTGGGCCTGGGCGCTGTCCCTCAGCTCTTCAGCTCAAGGCTAGTGCTCTAACACTTGAGCCACAGCACCACTTCTGGCTTTTTTCTTTTTGCTTAT